TCTCAGACCTTGACTGAGACTTCCCATACAGGGGCATTGGGGCTGATTTTTAGATTCCTGCTGAATAGTCTAGCTTTCAAAAGAGAAATGACCTCTATAGTTGGCTGCCAGGGCCAGTCCAGGGCACTCACTCACCTGTCAGTCTCCCATGCCACCAGGGCCACCTCGGCTCAATACCACGAAAGGATCACCTTTGGCACAGAGACCACTGGCCTCAATTAACTACCAAAGAAACTGAGGCCCAGACCGCAAAGGTAAGCAACTGCTTGTTCAAGGTCATATCTCCAGTGAGTGACAGGCCCCAGTGTGAATTCAAAGAAAAAATCCTGGAGTTCTGAGGAGGGCAGGTCAGAAGAGCTTCCTGGAAGAGGAAGCTTCCTCAAGAACTATAGAGAAGAAATGAAACTCGGAAGGCTGAGGGAGGAGCAGGGCCTCTCAGAAAGGTAGGCTGCCCCAGCAGATTCCTCCCTACGTATCCTATATACTGTGCACCACCGCCAGGCTTCGCACATTCACCCCACCCCACAGTGCCTTCCCTAGGTACCTGCAGCAGGTCAGAACCTTACTGATGGGCCATGTGGACACCTCTCTTTTAAGCCTTAAAAACCTGAGGACTCTCACTAATCTCATGCCTCCTCGCCCCACACTACATACCACATGCATCCTGCTAAGCCAGCCTGGGAAAACTGAATTCTCGAGCTTCCCCAGAACCCTGTCCACCCCCCAAGTCTTTGCCACTTGGCTCCTGGACCCAGGGATGCCTCATCCTAGCACACCCAAGCAAGTCCTGCTTACTTTGGGACTCAGGGCTCTTCCCAGAGTCTCCACTCCACCCAGTGTGTGCCCACCACAACCCCAGTACCATTCATAGTCATAAACTCAGCTTATCCACAGCCAACTGGAGCCTTAGGAGAGCAGAGGCTGGGAAGGCTGTCTGGGTCCCTGGTTGGGCATCTAAGTTGTGTCTGAGAGCAGATCTGCCCCCAGGCCCAGCCACATCTGCACACAGCAAAGGATACAACATCTGCTTTTCTGTTTACAAAGCACTGCTCCAGTCACAAGATAAAGCGGCGTTTTGGTTGTAACCCAAAGATACAGTTCATTCATGTCTGTGAGTCTCTGCAGAATACGCCAAGTCACTTACTTACACGGCAAATGGGGGAACAGACAACTACCCCACGAGGAATTTCCAGAACTCCGTGTGGTCATTCCACCCTCCGGAGGCAGAACCTTGTTCCCCACTCCCTGAACACGGTCTATGCAAAGTGGCATCCCTCCGAATGGTGCAACATGGGAAGGGTAGAAAGAAAACTCTGCAAGGGACGTCAAGGCCACGATCGGTGTTGATGAGTAACATGGGTAACACGTTCCCTCTGCACAATGCATTGAAAACGCGCCCTACATCCCCGGTTGTCCTCCCAGGTACACAGGAGCCCAGACTCATCCTAACAGCCCACCAGGCAAATCCCACTGGGGAGCTGTCCACAAAACCCCTAACAGATTTCAGAGTCATCCTGGTCATCATTACCAGGAGACCTGCCAAAGAGCCTGCCATCACCCAGAGAAACTGAAGAAGGCAACTGTGATGTCCCGGATGGGATTCTGGGGCAGAAAACAAAAGACAGTAGAAAAAGCTGAGAAAATATGGACAGAGCACGGGCTCTAGTTAACAATATAGGCTATGGATACCGATTGGCTATGTCACAGATGTCCCACTAACAGGAGATGCTGGCAGTGGGGAACTAGGGGCGGGGCACCTGAAAGTTCTCTGTGCTATGTCTGCAGTTTTGTATAAGTCAGAAACTGCACTATAAACAAAATATTTACTTTGAAAAGTAGTATGTGTGATGGGCCTAGTGGTGCAGGCCTGTAATCCTGGCTGTTTGAAAGGTTAAGGCAGGAGGATTACAAATTCAAAGCCAGCCTCAGTAACTTAGCAAGCTCTCATGTAAAAATAAAAAGAGGGCTGGAGATGTAGCTTGGTGGCAGTGTGTTTACCTAGCGTGTGTAAGGCCCTAGGTTCCATCAGAGAGAGAGAGAGAGAGAGAGAGAGAGAGAGAGAGAGAGAGAGGAGAGAGAGAGAGGAGAGAGAGAGAGTTCATGAACAGAATGTGGTGGTACCCACCTGTAAGCCCAGCACTAGGGAGATGGAAGCAGGAGGATTATGAATTCCATGCCAGTCTAGGCTGCATAGCAAGACCCCATCTCAAAACGAAATAAAGCAAATATGGAAAAGCAGAAAAAATACAGTTTTCACAGTCCACAGGCCAATGATAGCCATGGTTACAACAGCTCCACTTCCTGTTTTAGTGTGTCCCCGTTTCCACAGTCAGAGTCCGTGGAGGTTTTTCTGATCACAGCAGATGCCAGCCCCCCACTCTCCACCCTCGCCACCATAGATAATGCACTTCAGGGACAGAATGCAGAAACACAGAGGGAAAGAGGCCAGAGATCTCCTCACCAGTGGATCTACTGGAGTCCTGTCACCGACTTAGGACACTAGGCTGAGGACACCTGAGGAGCGTGTAAGTCTGGGTGACCGGAGCATCCCGTGAACAAACTCTGAAGATCCCTTGGTAGACACCCTGCTAACCAGGAGGATCTTCTGGTAATCTGCACCCTTCCCCCATCTCCACCAAGTATGGCCCCATCTCAGTCGTCAGTGGCTAGATTTAACCCTCCCCACAGGGGCCAAGTCCAAAATAGCTCACAACGTACAGTCGTCACCCATGGCTGCTCCCAGATGACGCCAGCATGGGCTCCTGGTACATCTGGACGGTGGTTCTCTTTTTCCGTCCAGATGTTCAAGGTCCTGTTGGCCCACCTGCCACTTGCCTGCTGTACCCAAGGAAAGCCCCCATTCCTGTCCTTGTGTGAAAGAATGGGAATCTCTTGTCAAGAGGGCAGAAAGATAAACTGGGGACCCTAACTCAGAGGTGAGCCCCAGAGCAAGGTGTCTGGCTTCCTGGCTCTTCCCCTGTTCTTATGCCCCTGGTAGCCCTAGAACATTCTTTCATGCCTCACATAGCTCACATGATGTGCAGTGGCACTCCAGCCCATGCAATCATGGATGTCTTAGGGGCGTGGATGGTGGCTAGGGGTTGACTACTGGCACCTACCCTTCAAAGAGTTAGCCAGCCCCAAATATCAACAGTGCACAAAGGGGAGGTTAAAGGCTTAGCTTGTCACATTCTCCTCTCCCACCTCCAAGGCAGTCTCAGCAGGGCCTCCTGCACCAAACACACCACACCTTTGCACACCTGCGTCTTCTGTTCACCCACACTGCAGCCAAACCCTGCCCTGCCTGCCTGTGGCACCCCTCCAAGAAGCCTTCCCTCATCACTTGACCCACAGTCTCTGAGTCTCCATGGAGACAGGATAGCACTCATTCATTCACAGATGAGGATGGTGTGAAGAAACCTTGAGAGTCACACAGCACAGCCTACCAGGGATTTTTGTTGTTGCTGGTAACCTGGCATGGTTCACCTTTACTGGAATATCAGAAGATGAGACACAGAAACTGCCTCCTGCTCCTCTGAAAGGCAGGAAAGTGGCAGTCAGTGTAGCCAAGCTGAAGGTTCTTCTACCCCACTGCAGCCACTCAGTGACCCCTCTGCACCCAGGAAACATCTGAGTTGGAAACCCAAGTCAGTCCACAGCCCCTAACTCCCGCTTTAGAAGGAGAAAAAGTTTCCAAGTCAGGAGCTGGCATAAAGACCCATGTCACTTTAACCTCAGAGCACTGCATTAGCTCAGAGACCTCAACCCTAAAGACTCAATGGGGATCAGCAGACCACCACCGCTCTAGGCTCCAGTGGCTAAGCAGGACAGCCTCTGAACATCCCCCTGACCTCAGCCTCTAGCTGAACAGGTTGACTCCAAGGTACCAGTAGAATCATGTCTGAGACAGCTCATAAAAAGGCCATAGACCATGTCACACACTGTCCCATGGGATTTGTAGATGCCAAGTCCATCACACTCACAGAAACCCTGTCATGCAGCTTCTATTATTATTCTCATCTTCATTTCTTATCCAAGAAGACAGGCTCAGAAAAGTTCAACAAGTTTCCTAAGGCCACACAGCTAAGGCTAGGGATGGGGGTGTACATAGGAGCCTAAAGTCAGAGCTGCCTCTAGCCACAGTCTGGCCACCCTGCCTGCCACCGGAAGCAGATGTAGCCAGGCTCCGGAGTGTGCAGTAGCTCACGGCAGTCTGTGGATTTGGGCTGATTTTGAGGAAGCTCTTCCAGGCCCAGGAGAGAGAACTATTAGCCACAGGCCCTGACTCACAGAAACAGGAAGATGCCTGGGCCTCTTGAAGCTGGGTGCGGCCATGGGTTGGGGATTGTGTATAGATCTGAACAGAACAAAACAGAAACTTTGGGCCACTCTGAAGCTGTGACTTTCCCAGGGTCACACTGTGAGAGAACAAGAGCCAAGGCTCCATGCTTGCTACACTGAGCAGTTCCATGTTACCTCTAAATGTTCTACAAGGTGCCAGGCCTGTTACTGGGGGCATTAGCACAGATCTCAAGGTGTTCTCCCAAGGGAGAAGACAGTGACTTAACTGAGCTGTGAGCTGAGAGGACAGGGAGCCCCTGCCTCCCACTGGCAGCTCAAAGGCATGATCCAAGATTCCGGCCCCTGGGACAGGCCGGGGGAAGCACTGGACGCAGGCCTGCACAGACCTGACATCCTAGAAACAATCCCAGATGGAACTCTTTGCACCTACCTGCTGGCCTCCAGAGCACTTTCTCGTCTGTGCATCTATCTCTCTGTGCACCCTCACTGTCAGGGTGCCATTCTGCCCCATTGGACAAGGGGAAACTGAGGCCCAGAGCAGGACAGGGTTTGTCCAGGGTCCCACAGAGAGGCAATAAGTAGTAATCCTCCTGTTGCAGGGTCTTGGCTGGTCAGATGGCAACACACACACACACACACACACACACACACACACACACACATGAAAAACCAGCTCCCCCAGCCATCCAGACACTTACTACATGGTAGATGGCCAAGGCAGTGGTGGCGATTCGGACGTTGAAACAACAGCAGGTCTGGCGGACCGTTGCTGCACGGGAGGCCATGGTGCACTATCCCCTCCTCTGAGGCTCTGATGGGGAAGGAGGCCCAGATGACGGCAGCAGAACAAAAAAGGGAAGCTGTAGGCTGCCCGCCTCATTTCCGCCCTGCCCTCAGACGGTAGGGGCTAGAGCTATATGACTGGGGCAGGACAGCTGCAACCCGCAAGGGTGGGGAGGGTCACAGCCAGCCTTGGGGAGCCTGGCTGGGGCATCTGCCACTCCCAGAAGGGAGGGTCCTAGGCAAGGTGCCAATACTTCACCAAGCCTGGGCTGAACACTTACCCACACCCTGCTTCCTGGATGCTCAACACCACCCTGAGAAGCCAGGATGGTGACGAAGCCCATTTCTAGAAAAAGAAACAGATGTCCAGAGTAGTCAAGGCACTTGACCCCAGTTCTTAATCATTAGTGTTGGTGGCAGGATTCGAACCCAGATCCATATGGTTGCAGAATAGCAGCTGTTCAGTAAGTAGCTCCCCTCCTCCACCCTGTGTGGCTAAGCCCCTTCACTCCTCACCTCATTCATGCCAGGGCCCTATTGTTCTTATCCTCATTTTATAAATGAAGAAACTGAGGCACAGGGCGGGAACATTGCTTGTCTGCAGTTACCCAGCTAGTCAAAAAGAGTCGGAATGGAGGCCAACTGGCCCAAGAGGCCACCCTGGAGCTGAGCTGGCTGCTGCTTTCCTCCTCTTTCTTGGAGACCTGTGTTCATCCTGAGCCCCAAAGAAGAGCAGAGGCGTTGTCACCAAGCAGAGCCATTGACATGAGCCAGGCCCTGCAGCAGGCTGCTCCTCCTATGAATGTGTAACCCCTCGAGGCCGTCTGGGGGAACCCCTGGCCTAACTGTCTTTGTGAGAGTCCCCTGAAACAGGAAATCAGAATCATTTTTTTTTCCTTGTTCCTGGGAAAAGTTGGAATTAATATGCCCTGGACTGTTCCCTGACTTCTCAGAGGGTAAGTGACTCACATTGCAATAAAGGAAAGGAGCATGAAGTTCACACAACACACATTCTCCCTCTCTCCCTCTCCCTCTCTCCCTCTCCCTCTCCCTCTCCCTCCACTGTTGAAATAGCAAGTTCCCCTAGGCAGTTCTGTTGCTGTGATAAAAACACTAACCAAAGCCAACTTTGAGCAAACACTGGGATAAAGATTGTAAGGTGGGAACGTGTCTCTCTCTCTCTCTCTCTCTCTCTCCAGGAAACCTCTGCCACCCCTGACATCACAGAGTAAGGACTGGATGCCACAGCAGTCTTTAGTTTTCCACCCCAAGGGAGATTATAAAACAAAAAGAGTTACTCTGTCAGATGCCCAAAATCCAGGAAGTCAAGGGCTGGAGTGATGGCTCAGAAGCTAAAGTGCTTGCCACACAGGTATAAGGACCTGAGTTCGGATCCCCAGCACCCACAGAAAAAGCTAGGAAAGATAGGGCTCTCCTGCAATCCAATCAGTGAGTTCCAGGTTTAGCCAGAGAACCTGTCTCAAAAAATAAGGTAGCAAGCCATTGAGGAAAATACCCAGTGTCAGCCTTTGGCCTACACACACACACATACACACACACACACACACACACACACACACACACACACACACACTGGCATCAACTTGATGAAACCCTAGTCTATCTGCTAAGCTTGGGGTCCTGGGAAACCTGGCCAATCCTTTTCTTGCTTCACTACTCCACATGCCTGACTGAGACCTGACATTAAAGCAGTGACATAGGGATTAAGAACTCATGGTCTTGGTAGAAATACTGATGACTTCTGGCCAGGTAATCAAAGCAACAGAGGAGTCAGGCCAGAGGGCCTCAAGGTGGGCACAGAAGGGTGGGAGGTAGGGGGGAAGGGGGGTGGAAGCCCCTGGGAGCTCCCATTTGATGACTGGAGAGGTGGTAGGAGGGCTCAGATCACGATGACAGTGGGTAATAACATTATGGTCTAGGGAAACAAGTGGGTAGCCCATCCCTAGGAGACGGATTAGACATACCTATAATATGACTCTTTATGGGACCTTCAGACAAACGTTTTTCACTTTTATAGTGATAAATTCATTTTAATGTGCCTTATAAAAATTATATAACTAGCCCATGAAATCTGTGATTTCCCACTTATAGGAGCATATAAACGTTCATTTTAAAACAGATGCATTAAATTAGAAAGACAGTGGATTTAAAGGAAACAGAAAGGAAGTCTTACCTGCATGCAGACGTGGCAGCTACCCACAGAGGTAGGGTCACATTGTCCCTGGCCTGAAATCCTGTGACCTGGGAAAGCCCAGCCCATCTTAGTAGCTGTGTGATCCCAGAAACAGTGCCTGACCTCTCTGAGCTGCTGTTCCCACTGGCAGAGGCTGTGGTGAAGATGAAATGGGGTCGCAGGAAGTATTTGTTTGCTTCCTCTCTTACAGTCACTCTTACACCCCCATCTCCACCTTACCAGGAGGCTGGGAGGAAGCAGAACTAGGATTTGAACCCTGATCTGTTGGAACCTGAATCCTGGGCTGGGTGCAAGTACCCCCCCAACACACATACACACACACACACACACACACAACCACACAACCACACAACCTGCACTGTCTCCCTGCCAGGCCCAGGAGTCCCTTGCTAGGTCACCAGCCTCCAGAGGCTAGCAAATCCCTGATAGAGGCCCTCAGATTCCTTGAAATGAAGCCAGGCCTTCTGTTTTTCTCTCCCTAACAATTGTTCTGAGGAGTCAGTGACCATTACCCCCAAAACCAAGGTCTAGCCAAGGCCACTCCTGGCAGGACAGAGCACCCTACAACACTCGCCTTATAACCCTAAAACTTGTGCTTACATTATTTCATGCAACAAAGAGACTTCTAAGGATGGGGTAGGTTAAGAATCTTGAGATGAGACAATGACCTTGGATTATGGGGGTGTCCTCATGTTCTCACACAGGTCCCTGTAAATGAAGGAATAAGACAAGAAAATGACACAGGGCTGGCTCTAAAGGTGGAGGATAGGACCTCGAGTCAAGGACCATAGGCTGCTTCTAGAAGCTGGAAGAGGCAAGAGAGGGAATCATCTCTTAGGGTCTCCTACTCCTTAACTTTAGCTCCAGGGAGCCCATTTTGGACTCCCAGCCTTTAGGCTATAAGACAACAAACTCATGCTATTTGTGGTGACTTGTTCTATGACAAAAGACACGAATACAGCTACTCCAGTCCGGGGTCCCCACAGAGGCTACTGCCCCATCCACACACATGCAGCCCTCAACTTTATGGCTATGACCCTGGGTGAGCCATGTTGACTATGTGAGCCTGTTTCTTCCTGCACAGAGTGGCAACCACTACCACCCCCACCTCGTATTAAGGACGCAGGGGACAGCCACACACTGGGCACACACCATCTTCTCCTGGTAGAAATGGCAGATCTGAGTTTCTTCCCATCACACCCTCCTTGCTGGCTGGTGGATCCCTGGATAGTGCACACCCTCCATAGTCACCACGCAGGAGAAGTGGAGGGCAGGCTCCAAGCTGCTGGAAAGACTGTCCTTGTGTGGGGTCTGGTGACACCAGGTCTATGATCCCAGCTACTCCAGTGGCTGGGCTACAAGATCAAAAGTCCAAGACCTGCCTGGGCTATAGGGTAAGTTCGAGTTCAGCTTGAACAACTTAGTGAGATGCTGTCTCAGAATAGAAAGTAAAAAGCTCAGGGCTGGGGAATGTAGCTCAGCAACAGAGCACTTTCCTAGCACATGAAGGCCTGTGTTCCATCTCCGGTGCTGCCAAAGATAATAAATAAAGTGTCCTGCAAATGTGATTTCTGACGAACCTAGTGTGTCACTCCTGAGGAGCCTGCCCTTCTGGCTGGCGGTCCTGCTCTACAGCTGTCCGTGGCCTGCTCATGTCTCTGCCTCCTCGAGGTAGAGTGCGTGCCACTTTCTCTGTGGGGCCAGCACCTCTCAGACAGTACCTCTCCACCCACACCCTGGGAAGTAAAAATAAACCTCACAGTTCTGCAGGGTTTCATTTAAACAGACTTTGGGAATCATTCCTTTTTGCCAACCCAGATGCAGGAGTCACTAGTGTCGCCGTGTCTATGTGGGATCTGCTGTCTGCCATTGTCACTGTCATCAGAACAGGTCATCCTTGTTCTGCCCTCAGCTGAGTCCTCCCAGGGAACCACTCCCAGCCCTAGCTGGGAGAGGAAGACACCAAGGGACATTAGTGTAGTTTGCTCCTAGCTGACCTGGGCATTGACCTGAAGCAGGACACACAGCTGGCTAGCAACAGGACCTTCTAGAAAGTGGATCCTCCTTGAAGACAATGTGGGAGGCTGTGAATGGAGCAGCTCCAGGAAGCTCCAGGGACCACTTCCAACTTGGGTGTGGCCATTCTGGGACCCCTGCCTTCAGGGCCTGTGGTGATATCAACATGCTAGTGTTGTATTGATGGTGTCCTGTAACCCAACCAGCCACCCTTGTCTGCTGTTGGGGCTTAGAGCTGGGACTTGTGAGCCAAGGGACCTGCAGGGTGAGGGAGAGTCACTAGAAATATGAGAAACCACATGGTACTCTGTTCCCTTTATCCCCACTCAGTGTGCTGGTCGGGGGCCTCCCCTGCACCCCTGTCCTGCTGAAAAGACAGTGTCCTCTGAGGTCACCCTGGCAAGCACAGTCCTCAGGCCTGGGCCTGGGAGAGCTGAACCTCCAGTAAGCTCCAAGCTGTCAAGGGACCTCACTCTGAAGCCATCTGTCGAGCACACCATCTTCAAGCCTCTTCAGCAGGCAGTGCAGAGGTTGTAGCTACCAAAGGTACTGCTATACCACACACTTCTATATTCACACTACCATGAGCCCTACAGGCAGGAGGCCCCAGGGTCATCACACCAGGGTTGCAAGAGACTCTTGTAAATAGCCTCAGCTGAAGATTGGCTCTGAGCACCGTCAGGACCCAGCATGGGGAACCGTGGGTGTGAGCGGTGCTGTGAGACAGAGCAGAGCACTAGATTTAGAGCTGGAACCTTGCCCCCACTCCCAGCTCTGATCTAGGGAGTAAGATTGTCACACTGCACCTCACCCCCTCAGAGTTAACCACCCCCTTAGGAAGTGGCTAAACTAGCACCTGTCACTCATACCATAGTGAGAATTACTTCCTACGGCATTT